AGGCTTTGATTTCCCGACTGTGCAGGTGTTAGCCTCGTGGCAGTGTTCCTAACTCGGTGGGATGTGAGATCTGCGGGAGCACACTGCAGCTTAGGGTATGTGTGTGTGTGTGTGTGTGTGTAAGAGGAGAGTATAGGACAAGGGAGAAGAAGGAAAGATCGCACAATAAACGACTGGTGCTACTCGGAGAAATCACACATCTAGCAAAGCAGCCGCCACTGGAATTCTTCTCCTCCAGATACTCTCGGCGTCTTAAGTGAACCGAGTGTCGACAACCAGTCATCATTTGGGGAGAAATAGTAGAGATTTTGTGTTGTCACATTGTTGTTGTGCGCCAGAAGATAAACTATTATTGCTTCACAAATATGTGCATGATTTCAAGAATCTATTTTTATAAGCCAGATTTATGTAAAAACCTGGGTAAAATTAGTGAGATAAGAGATAATTTATTCGGAGAATTGCAGCCCCGCCTGCACTCCGTCGGGGGTGGATTTTGAACACTTCCTCCGTCTACTAAGTCACTAAGTCGGCTCCGCCCGCTGTCAGAAGACTTCTGGCGGCTGGCGACTCTGATCGAGACCAGGCAAACTTCGGAGCAGTACGCGAACAGAAAGGCCACGCGATCTTTCCCTTCGCTTCCCTGTCCTACCTCACCCCTTACACGCTCTTACACTTATATGCACTGCACTGCACTGCACTAGGTACCAGCTGGGAGAAATACCGCCTCCCGCTCAACTCGCACTACGCTCAAGGCACTCAGCACTACGCAGCTGAGCGGGAGCCACTCGCCCACGATTACCCCGGCGCTCAGCCCAACCCATGGTGAATTAACAGTTTTATATAAAAACGTACGAACGATTAGTTGGGTAGCAGTTAACTTATTTGCAGAATTGCAGCCCCGCCTGGACTGGCACCTGCGCCTAGGACGCGGCGTCTCTGGGACAGCCAAGTGGCTGCTGTTGGCTCAAGATTACCCCACTAAAGCTCCAAGTAGAACTCTTCGTAGTATGTCACTCTTTGAGTAAATTATAGACCAATCTCGTTTCAGAATTCGATAGACGTCAACAAATCCTAACGCTCATTCACCACCAACAATTTTCACCAAAAGATTGCAAATTTTATCAATCGCTTGTTTTTTACTTTTTCGTTATGGGAATCTAGTTGCAGTAAATTCCTTTTTTCCTTTCGTCTTGTATTATTTTGTGAGTCATTATGGTTCTAAAACATGTAAAATATAAATTACTGATTCTACAACAGCATATACTCTCAACCGTTATATGATTTACTACGCAATATAATTTTACTACAGGCACCTTCAAAAGTGTTTCCAACCAGCAAATCTTATTCTCTTCATTACGATTCGTACTTACACCTTCCTTCTAAACTCAACTGCTCCGACGCTGAAAAGAATCAAAGGTTTTGCGTATTATTTCTGACTTACAATTTTCAAACATTCAGAAATGTCAATGAAAATAATATGTGCCTCATTTTTAAGCGTCCTAAAGAAAATAATTAGCGTTGTCTCTGAGAATTTTTTAAAAATAAATTGCATTAACGTTAAGTAGAAATTACGTGAAATCTAATCGTTTTCCAAAAATTGTACATTACCTTTTTTTAAAGATCTATTTTTTCGAACGCGTTTTCTTTTAGAAAAAGTACCTCTACCATCAATATTATACTTTTGCAATAATTTTTTTTCAATTTTCAACAATACAAAGAGTTTGTTCAAAATAAAACCATCAATTTTTACAGTCCTTACATAAAATAATTGTTTAAAAATTGCCTGTATTTCACGCAAAATTACTCGAAAACTACGACCCTGTTCGAATACTTGTATCAATTTTGAAGAAAATCGTCTGCACGGTTTAGGCATTGACCGCAGGCGGTTTTGCCGTCTTGCAATTCTTCGGTATGAAGGTCCCCTAAAATGTGGATTCTGACTGCGCAACGTGATAAGAGGAAGTAGCTTACTACAAGTACGAACAAGATTTTCCCTCTTTTACATTATCAGGGCACGGGATTTAGAGTGTTTCTGTCGAAAATTCGCTGATTTACTTTGCACCTCTACAATACTTTCTCATTACTACGCATGTAGTAAAGAGAAAGTCAAAAATGTTTGATACACGGCTGTGAAACGATTGATTCAAGTGTTCATCTTTGAAGCCACATTTTGAAAGAACATCATTCATCGCATTAAGTTCCCTTAGGCATTTACTTCGACCTCAAAAGTTAAAACTTCTGTAGTGGATGAAGTTCCGGAGAGAGACAGTTTTCGAAATTGTGTTCGTTAAATCCCTGCGCAGTATTTGACGAACTGACAGTGTGCGTGAGTGCGTGTGCGGTTCCGTCACTCACGATTAGACCACTTCCCATTCACCAATCGAAACACATTGTGTGTCATTGGACGCATCTCGGTCCCCTGATGGGGAACTGATAATTTGTTTTTGAATCCGAGCGTAATATTCAGAGAAATTTCCAAATACTTTTTTCATGTTTTGGCGCGGCCATCATAGAGAGTAAGCCAAGAATTAAACCAACACCATCTAAATAGATCTACGTAGGAGGCGTTGATTAAACTCCATTACCTCGTGGTTATATTCAGTCCTCGACAGCATACTTTTCTTCTATGAGGATGCGAACCCCTGTTTTTGACAATATAGCAATATTAATTTAACATTGCCTGGCAGAATTCGGTGGGAATTCGTAAGAGTGAAGTATTTCGTGCGTAATTTTTATAATAAATTTGCAAATTACCTTGGAAAAATTTTGAAGAACATCAAGTGAGTGCGAAGAAAACAAAAACTCTAAGTTAAATAGAGAATACATTTATGAAACGTGAAATGATCGATTTTCAATTTAATGTGTACCAACTTTTTCTCTTTATTCAAGTTAACATACAAAATAGTAACATTTTATTGCTTATGTATATTTGCCCTCAGAACACAAATCAGACTAAGTTTGTAGAGTTTTAAAATCTTAAAAAATAAGGGGCAAAAACATGAAAGAGTTAAGTAACTCAGGAGAACTAAATGTAGTTGTAGAAAATGTTGCAAACAGAATTTTCCGAACTAATTGAGAATGTTCTTTTATTAGCATTAGAGACTAATGCAGAACAACAGCATACAGGTGATCTTAATGTTCATATTTGAAAGAAAACGTAAAAAATAGATATGTACAAAATACTAAACTTTCATATAATTCATATCTGCAAGTATTTTTTTACTGCGATTATAATTTATAAATTACAATATTACCTGTTCATATCCCGTATGGAGGTAACATACAATGCCATTGGGTGTTGGGAATTTTTAAACGGAAGTATAATATTAACAGGTACTACGATTCATTAGTAAGACCAATATCAGATACCGTAGGAACATATTTGATCAAAGTTTGAAAGAAATGAAGTACAAAATAAATTTTCAAAACAGGAAAATTCTTTTAAAATAATGTACAGCGTCGGCGATGCCACATTCAACTAGCTGTCTTAGTTTGTCCACTCCACTCGCTTTGAAAATTCTCTCATAATTTACTCGACGTTCTACGACTAATGCAGTTCGAAAATTTCAAAGCATTAAGGATTATCTATGATGATTATAAAAAATACACGTACAAAATTCTAATTACTTGTCGAATCACCTTAAAATCCTTATTCGAAACAAAGATATAATTCCCTTTATTATTTCATTTTTGAATCATTTACAGGCTAATCCGAAGTTAGCATTTGACAGCTTATTCATATAATAGATAGCCAGATGGATATTATTTCTGCAAGAGTTTTTTTTTTTTGAAAACTAGAGGCAGAAAAGTTTAATTTACATATATTGCAATGACAGATGTGTACTCATTAACACAATATAAGTAAAAATAGTCTTTAAATAATATTAGCTTCTATATTTTTTAGTACTTTTGTTTAACAATACTTGAAAAGTACAACACACAGTGAATTGTTTTTCGAGAAATATTTTCCCAAGCAAGCCATTACACTGATTGACCCATCCCTCTGATATTTTCCTTTCTTTCATTCCTTCTTTCTATTTATTTGTTTTAATTTCTGCGTAGCCAATAAAACTTAATGTACGTCGACATTTCGAAATTATTCTATAAGAAAAGGTTTGCGCCATGGACTCCAACTGAAGCAGTGGACCTGACCGGGAGGTCCCACGTTCAGCGGGTCTTCGCATTCGGAGCCCGGACGGTGGCGGATTGGCGTCTGCCACTCGCTTGTCTTCAGAAGAATCCTAGCGGCCGGCTGCTCTCATCGGCAGTTTGCCGTGATTTCTCCGATCTACACCAGGCGAATGCCGGAGCAGTACCCTAACAAACGGGCCACGGACCGCACGCGTCCTTTCCTTCCTCTACTTCCTCACTACCGCGCTTGTCGGGAGATAAGAGCTTGCCCCGGTCGGGGCAGCGCCCCGCTGTTGGAAGGCACACGCTTGGGGAAAAGACTGCTAGTCGACGGGAGGTCACCGCCACCTCCCGAGGTAGAAACATGTACTACACGAGGCTAATGACCTTAGCAGTTAACGTTCCTGGAATCACTAACAATCAATCATCATCAAGCCAGGGAGGAACCCCTCAACTTCAAGTATAAAAAGCATTCACTACACTTACGGAACTGACTATAGCATTTGACCATAGTAGTTGACATTCCTGGAATGAATGAATGAATTAATCAATCAGAAGTAGGTAATTATAATTAGATTCATATCTGTGTTCACGTCTTATTTTTTATTTATATGTAGTACCTGATGAAGAATCCAAAGATTATGATTCGAAACTTAAAAAAAGAAGAAGAAGAATAAACTGTCAGTAAACAATTGTTTCCAAATACTTCATAATCAGAAATAGATCTTCGTGATTCACAAAGGACGTCAAGCAAGAGAGGAGAAAGGAGGGCGGAGGAGGAAAAGGAGGAAAGAGGGGAGGGAGCAGGGCTGCCCCGTCGCCCGCCTAGCGGCTTCCTCCTCCCCCCTCCCCGCCCGCGAGCGCGTGCCTATAAGACGCGCTCGCCCCTCCGCGCAGCCAAACGTCTTCGCCATGGGCACCGCGCGCCTCTTCCCGCTGCTGGCGGCGCTCGCCGCCCTTGCTGCCCTCGCCTCCGCGGTGAGTACGACAGCCGCAGGGCCGAGTGACGAGTGCTCATTGATTAGCGGGCTAGGGAGAAAATCATCTAACGGTGCGCCAAAGAAAGGCGAATTTTTGACAAAAAAACTCTCATTATAGGGCCCTGATAACGGACAAATCGATAAATCCAGTTGATAAATTTAGAACAAAAACTTCCAACACGTGGTGTAGCCAGAATCAATGTTTTGCGAGTCCTACATACGGAAAAATTGAATGACTGCCAAATGTCCGTCCGACTGTGAACAACGCTAGAAGCTAAACCATTCAGCCGATTTGCTCCAAAAGCATTCCTCAATCGATTTAATGTCGCGGCCTTTTGAATTTCAAGCATATCTTTCACATTTGGGGGTATTTTATATGAAACCCTTCGGCCTTTCTCCAATTTTTCAAAAAAAATTAGCTCAATTGTTTTTGATTAAATTTTGTCGTTGGAAAGAGAAGGGTACAGGTCTTATGTTCGTTGAAATTCCTGATTTTTTTCAAAACTGCAATGTTCAACCCTTTTCCGCGTCTGCGTATAACTAGAATTATAAAGACAGCTGTTTGTCTTTCAATGAAATCTGTTCCTCGCAGATATATTTTAAAATAAGGCCATGTATAAATTGTCGAAACTGAGTACTTTTCGCGTAATTTTGCGTATGGGCGAGAGAATGAGTGCTGTTTTAGCACCACTAGTTTCATATTGGGGCTGGTGCGGGAGAATTCCGCGGTAATCTGTATTTAATTTTGCACTACATTTGATGAGGAACTTATTTAGTTGCGTTTGTTGCAAATACACTAACAGTGGGTCTAAAGTGCTTACGACTATTAATTTGTTCCGCAAACTTCGTCGTTGTCTGACTGAGCTAAAAAACCTGAAGCGTGAGGGACTCGTAGTGGAAAGAAAACGATGATTTTGTTTAATGCATGCCTATAAACTTGAACTATCAATTTATAGAAATAGGTGTTTCGTAAAAATGCGTAGAGAGTAAAGTTTTACGGGGCCTATCCGGATAGCCGAGGTCGCTGAGGCAGTAGAGCAGGCGACTTCGGGCGGAAGGATCGCGGGCTCGAGCCTCGGGCATGTGTGTTTGTGTATATCGTTGTTGTCCTTACGTGTCGTGTTTCCCGAACAGTTACCCCAAAAGAAAAAAAAACTATCAAAGGTATCGCTACATGATCCAGTAGGAAAAGAGCGACCTAAAATTGTTTTACGGTATTTCACTACAGGATATGTCGGACTTTACCTATCTCGCACTGAAAGATCACCCCCAGAAACAAGTCTTCTAATTGTGGGAGTGGAGAGTTTGAGCATAAGCTCTCCTGAGCAAGTGAACTTAAAATCTTCGCAAACATCTTTGTTTTGCTTGACCTTGGTGAAATGCTGTTCTGGACGTCAGCCTTCACATAAAACGGCAAGAGTGTAGAAACAGGTTTCCACTTCTCTCTTTTCATTCCCTCTTGATCGTCACATCCTCAAAGTTTCGCTCAAAAGGATACAAATATTGCGCAGTTACGGAAGACTGGATATAGTAATGTCTTTAAATTTTTTCTTCCTGATAGGGCTGCCACCTTTTGGAAATCCGTTACCCGGTGATTTTGAATCGGAGGGGGTAGCCTAAAAGTCATTTTATTTTTAAATTATGCTGTTAATTATATTTTCTATGAAATACACATTTTCTTTCTTTGCATTATATAAGTAGATTGTCATTTAGCAACAACCACATTTTCCGAATCTAACATCTACACCGTAGAATCTAGGAATAGAAATAATAAGTTGTATTTGTATGGGTTAAACAGTCGTGACGCAAAATGTAAATATTATAGTGGTCCCATAGAAAAACTGTCATGCGCTCGAATCGCGTTGTACCGTTCATTTTTTAATTTGATATTTTGCATATCGAAATGATTTATTGTAATAACAATTTTCGTGAAGGGGAGAGGATTTTCATGTGAAACTGTGAAATACGGGTTCTTGTTTCCACACTATATTAACTGCGATGAGCCAAAGGGAAATACCGCTATCATGCACAACACATCACACACTTCTGCCAAACAATTCCGTATTTTTTCACAACGAATACAATTGCTCGTATTACCCTGAGCTTTTCCATGACCTCGGAGATGACTCCGGGTCAAATGCGAAGATGTGGCGATCCTACTTTCTGAAATGACATTAATATCACACTGGTCCAAAGAAATAATCCAAAACTACTTCCTCTTTAATATTGAATTTATTTAAGAAAATAACAAAATTTCGATCTTTAGTAGCTGTAGCAATTTGTTCAGAAATACAAATGAGAATAAGCTGATTGCTGAGGAATTTTAACTTAAAGCATTTAAAACTTGCTGTTTCTTAAATTTAGACCAGGAGAACACATTGTCTCGCTAATTGGCTATTGTCCTCGTGGGGAGACTGAGAAATTTCTCACAAGTTTCTGCTGCAAATATTTTCGAATGGTTTCCTCTTCAATGAGTTTGTTTTCGTCATTGAAACTGTTAGATAACTTGATTTGATAATCAAGAGGGGATAATGAAGATTGGGAATGAAATCGTTAAAGTGTTTTCGTTCTTAAATTTTGTACGCTTTTAACGTAATAACATTCTTATCGTAAAAATCCGAGAATAAATATTGATTTTGGGCACTAATGCCCTAACAATCAGTTGGCTCGATACCTACCTTAGAAAATCCGTGTGACAACAAAAAATCTAAAATTAAAAGTACTCTTGGACGCTTTCGCGCAATGACCGCTAAAGACTGCTCGTCCTCCAATGAGCTAGCTGTGCGAACGGGAAACCTCCAGCCCTCAGCTTCTTGAAACAAACGTTTCTTCGCCAACTCTTTGAATTGCCTTCGACAAGCACAATTTCACCTCAAACCTTAAAAATGCTCAATTGAAACTGCTTCCAAGATGCAAATTCTCGTGTGAAAGCTGAAAACTGAGCAATGAAAGTCGTGTAAACTTGAAATAAATGAATCAAACGCACGTTTGTATCGAGTATTACTATATTATTAAAGTAAAAAACAATTCTTAAAATTATATTATTAGAAAACTGAAAAATTTTGAAAATGTCAACAATAAAAAAAAGGTACTTACGGTTGCGATAGAAGTCGGTTAAGAGTATGTGGCATGTCCAAAAAGCTAGCCCCCACCAAAGGAATTGGGAAAACTAAATCTGTGCCCTTGGGTAGCACCACTAGTTATTACTTGTTGTTGTTGTTGTTGTTGTTGTTGCAGCAACGGCGCAGCTCCATCAGCGACCGAGCAAATCTGCAGTATCTGTTCGACCGCCCCGTGGAGCCCCTGTACTTCGCCAAGGGCGAGAACGAGGACGTGGTCTTCAAGCTGCCACCCAGCTACGTGGTGAGTGGACCCCGCACAGCCAGGGAGCCAGCCCTTACGAGAGAAAGGGCCTACTTTGACCTTACGAAACAGCAGCACACGTGTTACTTGCGTTTAGAGGCTGATAAAGGGCTCAGAAAAACTTTCCGTGAAGGAGTAATACGTCTGCTCGAAATATAAAGCAGCTTGTCACCAGTCCGCCCGCCAGCCACTTCTCGCTCAGACTGAAAATCCGTTCGTGCGATGCGCGGGGAAGGAGCAGCAATGGCCGGCCATGGACGAGAACTTCAAAAGGGCGCGAACGCTTCCAGAAGCTTTGGTCAGTCGAAACTCAGTTTGCCGGTTGCAACGGTGAGGAGTGTTGCCGCACGCAAGCTCTGGGAATCGGCGCACATTCTGTCCAATGATTATGAAATGCACGATTGTTTGTGCTGTTGGGTCCAAACATAAATAGTTTGAGAAAATGTTCCTTACATGAACACTGGCGAGATGCGACATCCCCGCCCCCCTTAATCTCGATGGCACTATCGATAACATTCGATACTCTCGTCCTATGAAAACTATCCAATACTATCGCAATAAATGTTGTGTATATTATATTTAGAAGGTTCATTTTTAATTGCAAATACACACATATTCAATTTCTCTCTCGTTAAATGTAAATATAAAGAGATCACTGGTTCAGATATCAGTAGTTCGACTTCGTGTTGTCTTAATAAGAAAAAGACCAAATTCACGTACATCAATAGCCTTTGTGGAAGGAGACTTCTACTCGCACTAGTATAAGTTTGCAACGTTGAATTTATTGAAGTAGTATAGTGACATTTGCCAACGTTTTTTGAAAGTGGCAACGCTAAAAGATAATAACAATATTTTATACATTTGAAAGTTGCATTTAATGAGGGAGAATTTGTTGAAAAAATTGGTAAACTGTTATTTGAATGAAAATTTTTTTACCACAATTATTATACTAAGAGATCATTGTGGTTTATTTATTTATTGAAAAAGTTATTATCAACTAGTTGAAACATTTGATTTTTTAAAAATTTGTTTCGATAGTAGGTACTATCGATATTATCAGATAGTTTATTTGAAGACTAGCGATATATTGTCTTACTCGCGAGGTTTAACGTGATCTAAATTCTCGTGGCAGCAACAGAGGATTCTCGAACAAAATATCACAAAAGTTCGGAATTAAATATAGTTATCATTAAATCGGAAATTTATTCCTGAAGATGTGAATTCACAAAACGGAATTCTGATCATTAAATGTCACTTAATGATTAATGAAACGTTACGCTGAAAGAATCGTGACACTTCTTGTGACGAAGACTGTGTTAAAGATTTTCTTCTCCCACTCAATCAAACATTTAAATTTGTTATGCAATGGTTGTCTTATTATTAATAGTACAGTAATGCGTATATGGTTCTCTATGTACTTTTAGTCAAATTTTTCATCAGAAATTGATGGGCAGAGAGAGCACTTTAGATCATAAATACGCTCCGTATAATATCTTCAACTTAGTTTGATCCGTAATAACAAAAATGACGACAAATTCACTCGTCCCTGGTATGCTGTGTAAATTAAATACGCTATAATACAAAGATGATCAATTTATACAATACAGAATTAGAAGAAAAATAAAATTTATAATATACAGGTGAGCCCCATGATTGTCATTAATACAAATGAAATAAAATATAATTGTATAATACAGATTTGTTTTCGTAGTACATTATTCGTAGTAGAAAATATTTTATGAGACTTCCTCAATTTCTTCCTAAACACTTAAGCGTGAAAAAAATATAGAGAGAACGATATACGCATAACTAGATCAAAATCTTGAAACTACTACATTTTGACATAGGTCGAATTATGAACTCAACCAAATTAGCACGAACTATACTATTTTTAACACGCCGTAAGCGAAAAGCAAGCGTTAAGTAAAGGAATATAAATTAAATCTGAAATAACTAGAAATACCTTACTTGAACAAAAGTAAATTGATTCTAGTCAGTGCTGTAACATTGTTTACAAATAATAAACAGACGTCATGGAGGCGAAAGGCAATTGCGAATCGTTACAAGCGTCTGGCGCGCGTTGTGATGCGAGTGCTTTGGCCTCAGCCCCGCAGGTATCAGAACAAGGCGACGGAGCTGACGAACCGCTTCGCCGGCGGCACCACCATCGAAGTGCCGGCCATCAACGTGCCCGACATCTCGCTGCCCATGCAGCTGGGCCGGCGCGAGCACTTCTCCATGTTCATCCCCTACCACCGGCGCATGGCCAGACGCCTCGTCGAGATCTTCATGGGTGAGTGGGGCACAGGGACCTAGGAAAAGAAGTCCTCTAACACGTGGTGTAGCCGAAATTAATGTTTTGTGATTTCTTGATACCGAAAAATCGAATGACAGCAAAATTTGTCCGCCTGGGAACAACGCTAGCGGCTAAACCGTTAAGCTAATTCTTTCCAAATTGATATTCCGTAATCTATCTGCCTGATGTCGCGGACTCTTGAATTTGAATGCGATGTCAATTTTGAGGATACTTAACATGAAGCCCCTAGGACATTTTCCAAATTTTCATTGTCTCCATTGTTTTCGATTAAATTTTGTTGTTGGGTAGTGTGCAGGACTTTTAAGAGAATGGTGCAGATCTCATATTGGTAGAAAACATTGATTTTTCAAAAAATATTTTGGAAACGCAAATAAAATTAGTATAAATTGTCTTTACTGTAACATAATTTTTTTTTTTGCTTGTAAATGGGGAGGGGGTGTTGTCGCGAGCGGTACGCGAGTATTTAGGGGAGCTGCAGGGGGAGAGGGGATTGGCAATGCTCACGTGGTGGCTGTGTGGCAGAGGAAATGGCGGTGGTTCGCAGGCATGCGCACGTACGAGGACTTCATGTCGGCCGGCACCTTCTGCCGCGAGCGCATCAACCCGTTCCTCTTCTCGTACGCGATGAGCGTGGCGGTGCTGCACCGCAACGACACGCGGGGCGTGCAGCTGCCGCTGTTCGCCGGCCGCTTCCCCGAGAAGTTCTTCGACGGCGCCATCTTCTCCCGCGCGCGCGAGGAGACGAACCTCGTGAACCCCGGCGAGCGGGTGCGTAGCAAAGGAGCGCACATCACATGTCGAATAACAATAACAAATGAAACAGAATGAAGAAAGTCAACCATTGATACTTTTTCAAATCTAAAATGAAAATATTAATAAAGTATTATTACATTAAGGGCCACGAGGAATAAGAAAACATGAACATGTTGGCTCACAATAAGAAAACAGTAACATGCTTGTTAATTATTAAATAGGATGGGAGATTAAGAGTGGAAATTCTATTGAGTCGAAAGATTGCTTGACTATTTCCAAATCTGTTTAGAGCTACACGATTGGGATGCATTTCCAGACGTTGGTAATATTTTGTACTTATGTTTTGAATATTTCCTGGAACTGCTGCTAAATTGAGGTCTCGGTGTAGTGCAGTATTTGTAATGAACCAGGATGCAGTTGGAAGTTATTCTTTAGTTTTGATTGAAATCTTTGTAGAATTGACAAATTAACTTTTGCTGGCAGTGCCCCAGGTCTACGTATTAAAGGCTTCTTTTCCAAGTACTAAGGTCACATAGTAAGCACTGTAAGTACTATTACGAGTTAACGGAAACCAATTAAGAGCACACAAACATCCTTGCCTCAAGCGGGATCGGAACCCGCGACTTTCGGGTACGAGGCAGCTTTGGGCTATTCAACTTTAGCGACCTCGGCTATACAGGCCGGCAATCTTGCCACTTTAAATTTTAGTTAATTTCAACATGTAGGGTATTCTGATCAATTTGATAGGATTTATGTAAAATATAACAGAACATGTTTTTATCAGTATTTATGTCCAAATCATTCAAAATGACAATAGAATTTCACATGCAAGTGTTATACGATGAAAACTTTCGATATAATTCCTTCGAAGGCTGTAGTTCTTTTTATTATCAGAGTTTTAATTCAGAAATTTTATGCTCTGGCAACGCGATATTTGGCGTGTAGTCAATAGTGTTACTTTTCCGTTGTTGTTAATTTCTATAATTTTTACTATTAACTTTACTTTTTATTAAACTAGTTTGGGGGGGAACTACGTTCTTTTTAATACACGTTCCTGTTTTTCACAACCTACTCTTTCAATTAAATTTTAATTATTACTATAGATTGTAATATAAACGGATATTTTTAATGCAAATGTACAAATTGTTTAAGAAGTTAATCAATAATAGTTTCATAATTGTGCTTCCTTTTTACGTACTTCTTAGAAAATATTTGAGTGCAAATAATAAAAATCGGTTACTACCGTTTTTCAGCATTAAATCTAAATATATATTATTTATGTAACACTGGACTCCCCTTAAAATTGCAAAAAAACCTTGGATATCGCTGTTCTTAAGATCATTTGACCCGGGCGCCAATTGCCTTCGAATTTTCAGAGCCCGTAAGTAATAATCTTAATAATAGACACCTAATTAACACTGATGACATACAACGCATTTTAATATTTTGAAAATAAATTTGAAAACCTTTTGTGACCTTCACGAGTTTTCTCCGTTCCATGGTGTATTGAACTAAATCTCATTCATTTTGCTTTCTTTGAAAGGAAACTGAACCCTTGGGAATGGAATATAATTAACGAGGAAAGTCTGTTGTGCATAGTAACAGACCTTTCACAACAAGTTTCGACAAGTTTCCTCTTCCTTGTGAAACAAAAGGGAAATACAAGAATTTCGAGCCTACGGGAAAATTCTTCCCGAGTGTCCGGTGTGATATTGCAATAATTAAAACTTGCATAGGCAATTATAGTTAATTGCCATAAACCTGCAATTACAGTTCCCTAATTTACGTTCAATTTGAAAAATATTTACAATTCAGGTTATCAGGGTATCTGTGAAATATTGGTACTACAAGCAGTTCCTTTTGGTTGGTTGTTAACAAAAACGTCTTGATTATCGTTCGCCTAAACAGGAAAAACGTACAAGAGAGCTGGGAACTTACTCTAAACTGCAGTACTGTACTTTAACCGAATTAAAAATTGTACTTGCTTCACAAAGCACAAATTTGCTTCATAAGGTTCATAAATCGTAACACAATGGATTCCTTTTCTGAACTTTATGGCTTCACAATGAACAGATTTCAGGGACTAGTACTCCATCAAGAATATTAAAGGATGAACTGTATGGGGTTTGGGCTAACTAAACTTAAGAAGTTGGATAAAAATATTTATATCAAAGTTTGTCCAAGAGGTATTTCAAATGTGCGAAAGTTTTTATTCGCCTCTGGATAATGAATATTCGGAGAAAAAACTGTGTCAATGCATACCGTAAAGTGAATAATATAGGTCTATGTGTAAAGTTTTCCGGAAAGAATGCTGATAGTTGTGTAGTGACACGTGGAAAATTATTCATGAAAGGAACAAATGCTAGAAGACATTTATGAAAAAACTTAACAGCTATTAAAGAACGTGTCAGAACCTGATTACTTTTTCAATACGAGACTTTTGACGTCTTCATAAATCATGTTGAAACCATCCCTTTGTGAATATTACTGCCTGTAAATGTTTCAAACAGCACTGTCGAACTTTAACTAAGCGTTCAATTCTTTCTATTGCTTCCAACTGACATCCACGTTAATTTAATTACATCGTCAGCTTACAGGCGAGTGATGTTGGGTCGGGTTTTCCAATCTTGAAAACATTCAAAATATTAAATATTTAGGAAATGTTTACCTTTTCTAATTTTCTAGTTTGACTATTTTAAATTGTAAAAATTTCCTAGAATTGAATTGATCATATCCACGTTTTCATACTTTTACTTAATTTAATAACTGGAATCATTTATATTTTATTATAATAATAACAAATGATAAAAAGGAATATATATTATTTTATCATATAGTATATATAATATATATATATATATATATATATATTATATCACATATAATAAAATTATTTTTCAGTTTCTCTGAAGGCCTTGAACTTTTAACTTGATGCTGACTAGACTGCCTCACTTTCTAGTTTTTAGAGTTAATGCAAAATACGCAATTTTAGCTTCTTCGTAACCTCTCGAAACAATTAGTAGAACTCAACAGTTAACTGATTTAAACAATTTCAAATCCTCTTCTATACCTTACTTGCTGATTCACAAAAAGATAATTTCTCTTAAGTAACGTATCGTAGTGTTCAACCTGATATGGTTGTGATTAATTTTTAGTACATCCCTACCCGAAATTAATAAATGTAATTACACAAGTGCTGGGAGATCATTCCTTTTCAATCGACTCCTTCCTCCCTCGCTTTCACGCCTGCCTTCTGTGTAAGGAACCCTGTACGTTGCGTACGTATTTTTCATTGAATGACGCACCATTGTGATGCAAATGTTGAACGTGGCCGCAGGCCAAATGGCCTTAGGCTCAGTGCAAAGAGAACTGTCTATTCGCGCGTTTGCCGCAGATCCCGCTTGAGATCCCGCTGGACTGGACGGGCACGGACCTCGACCCAGAGCACCGCGTGGCGTACTTCCGGGAGGACGTGGGCATCAACCTCAACCACTGGGCCTGGCACCTCGTCTACCCCTTCGACGGCCCGCGCAACATCGTCGCCAAGGACCGCAGGGGGGAGATCTTCTACTACTTCCACCAGCAGATCATCGCCAGGTACTTTTGCTTCTTTTGATTCTTTCGCGCTACGGCCAATAGATGCCAAGATATTTAATGCTGCGCGGGAAAACGCTTATTGCAAGGACCTGGTAATCAAAAAGTGGATAAATCCAGTTGGTAAATTAAGGAAACAAAATCCTCAAATATGTAGTGTGGACAACATTCAGGTTTTGCGAGTCCTTGATTTCGAAAAAGTGATTGACGGCAAAAGTCTGAACGTCCTTCCGTCCGAAAAAACGTTAGCTAAACCGATAATCTGATTTTCTTCAAAATAGATTCCTCAATCGATCTGTCTTGTTGATTTTAAAATCGATATTTTAATTTTGGGGGACAAATTTTCAAAAAAGGTTCCATTGTTTTTTATTAAATTATGTTGGATAGTGTGAAGAATGTTTAAGAGAATGGTGCAAATCTCGTGTCGGTGAAAACGCTGTTTCGAAAATTACGAAAGTTTAAAATTCTTTCGGAGTCCGCCTAAAACTAAAATATTAAAGATAGAGATTTTCCCCTAAATGAAATCTGTTCCTTAAGGATAGGCTTTGAAATAAGATGAGGTACAGTTTTCGGAAATGTCAGTACTTTTGTGGTGTCGGCAGGTACAACTTCGAGCGCTTCAGCAACCGGCTGGGGCGAGTGCAGCGCCTGCTGAACTGGCGAGAGCCCATCGAGGGCGGCTACTTCTCCAAGCTGGACAGCCTGGTCGCCAGCCGCGTGTGGCCGCCGCGCCACGCCGGCGCGCGTCCTTCGGTGAGACGCGACAGCCGCCTGCGAAACTAGCGAATCTCCGCGTAAACAAAACGCAAGGAATCTTACTTGAACGAAAGTAATTGGATTCTAGTGAAAAAATTAGCTGTTTTGCACACGGAACAGAATCACGTGAAACCGCGTTTTGTGCCCGGCGTGTTAAATCATTTCTTACATGGAGGATTATCTATTAGCGCGATTTGAATTTGTTTTAAATAAAGGCCCTCTGCGGATCTGCTGCCCCTTCGGTTCCCCTCCCTTTTTACTAAACGTATTTGAATGATTGAAAATGCCCCTGCCTCTCAAAGCACTCGAAATACGCAATCTGCTCTGTTTAATTGGATAGTGGCATTCAGAAACTGTGATAGCTGTCGCATTCCACATATCAAATGCCTTATGTGTGAATATTATGTGCACAAAATTTGCATTATCCGCAATTGATTCAATGAGGGGGGGAAATTGAAAATGTACCTAAATCTTTAATATGAATGTTAAATATTCTGGTTTAAATCTCCGAAGCGATACATTCTTACCTTCTGAATAGAAAGTAGTTTCCTTAACCCAACATTGTGTGTTTGAACAAACATTGTAATTCTCTTAATGGCTTTAGTAACGGGAAATCTCCAGAAAATGATGCACTAATGATCGTACTCCCTAGAGCAAGGACGCCTGAGAAACTTCTGCCAACTATCCTGCTTTAAATGAACGCCTTAATTGGCTGCCTTTGTTTCTAAATGAAATGAAATAATTAGTAGATACAAAACAAATTAAGAAATGACTGATATTTAAAGCCTCTAAACGAAACATTAGGACTTTGACCCAGTATATAAGCTTATGAGTCCATCTTGTTTGCTAAAAATGAGACAAGATTACAACAGGATTTTCCTAGTAATCTAAATTTGTGTTCAATCAGAGAAGTTTAATTGCTGGCCCATATAAATTTACGAACATAATTTAAATATCGCAATACCCCAAAAAGATTAGCATTCTTATTGTACACGCTATAAAGTTGTTAATATAATTAAAGTACGTCTGTTTATTAACGTCACAACATTAGTACACACATATGCTCTCTTATAAAAGAGACAAAATAATGCTTATAAAATTATTTTCCAGAGTTTCAAGCTTATTTAGAGTCGACGATAAATTACCTCGCTCAACATAACCCAGTGATTCGAGGATAAATTTGTGTAGGTGCCTTAGAATAGTGTAACAATCTTCTAGGGTATGAAAAGGGTTAAATATAATTTTCAACCAAAGAACTTGTGTTAAAAAATATTTTTAAACGCTTGCACGTAACATTTGCCCCTTATTGACTCTCCTACACGGATATTTATTTAGCAGGTACACAAATCGGAACGTTCCCCTGCCAAATATTATTGCAAGATGAGTTGCATGCCATCAGGGGCAAATGTCTCTTCCTAAGAGATTTTCCTCCACATTCCTTGGCAAAAGTGACTATTCGATCATCCCACATGGCTTAGAAGTTTGTAGAATTTACTCTGATATAACCTGTATAAAGATAGTGAAAGTATAAACAAATATCTTTAGAAGTGTAACATTTCCGTCCACCACTTAAAATTCGATAAGTATTTCATCATGAACTAAGTTTTAAAAAAGTTCTCAAACTAATGCAGTCTGAGATGCCAAAAATATATAAAACGTCTTGTGAAAGATCGCAGATACATGATCTCTCTCATTTTCAAACAAAAAATCACCAAAGTTATCTTGGTTAGCGAATGGTCCCGTGCTCAAAATTCCATCTCCAACGTACCATCATGCGTTCTCTGAAATGCGGAAGTCAAAAGACTGACTATAATATCCCAAGTCTTGTTGAAATATTATTCTGCCTTTGATACCCGTAATCTGGTTTGAAACCATTCAATTTAAACAAATTTCCCAGTTTTCATATACTCATCCGTTCTGAGAAAAATGGTAGTCCTTCAATTGAAAATTGTAAATTTTCGCTCAAACGACAGTCGGGGAAGGAAATAGAGAGGGTGAGCACAGCGTATTTTCACAGGACATCAACCGCGAGGACATGCAGCTGAACTTCGACCTCGCGGACCTGGAGCGCTGGAGGGACCGCATCTACGAAGCCATCCACAGCGGCCGCCTGCAGCGGGTGCGTGCAGCAGGGACGGCTTAGCACAGTGGCGATGAAATGCGGACTTCCTCGCCTTTGGAATACTACTTATACCACAATTTCTCTCGAACTTACACATTGATATCATTTTTTAAAACACTCGTTACAATTCGTAGAAAATTTGGTGTAAAAACATATCTTCAAAAAATATCAGAACATTTTTTACAACTATAACTACTGTTCATACAGGTAAATGATGTCCCAACAATAAGATGCAATTGACAGAAATAAGCTCCCTTGTCATAGTTGCCGATCCATTGTTGCATTTGAATCTATTTCCTGAAGACTAGTAATTTTACAAATAGATTTTTGATAATTTATAAAATAATAATTTGTAAATGTAAAACAAAAGTTCGATTGTAAGAAAAGAACATAGAATTTGTATATTTCATATTTATAACTTACGAAGCATTCAACTTCCTGGAATTACGTTCACGAAGCGCACTAAATTCGGTAAAATTTATAAACTGGATTTATCCACTTTTTCGTTGCCACTGCACTGTAATACGTATTTATGCCAAAAATTCGCAGTCTTTTCGCACATCACTACACAACTTTTTATCTACTGCGTAAGCGGTAGCGAGAAGGTAAAATATGGATAATGTGATAAATTTTAAATATCAAAATCCAGAAGCGGTCACATGGCGTGTAAAATACACATCTATCGATATACAAATTTTCTTAATGTCACAAAGTGTATAAAAGGCGAAAAGACAACCTTAAATATGAAGATTTTAACGTAATAATAGAGACACACAGGACATGACGAACGAGTAATTAATACAAGAAAACCCAAAATGTGCACAGAAAATGCCTAAGAAATGTTTCACTTTTGGTGTAATGCCTTATAATGTTTTATATACTTAACATACTGAAATACATTTTAATTTGATTAAGAAGATATATTAATATAAAAACGAAGAATATTCGAAACAACAAATGTAAAGATGCTTGCTATAGTCTCTTCAGCAATATTCCCCAATAAGGGAAATGCCAGAATAAAAAGAAATGACTATATTTCGTAATTTTTAGGAATATAACTTTGAAAGTATGGAAAAAGAAGTCTTCTACTTGTAAGGAAGACCCTCATCCGTAGATGTAGCTGTAGCTCAGGTTGTGCGATTTGACGCTGTTTCAAGGTTTATCGTCGATTTTAATTTGACTTTTGCTTAGTCATGAGAGTAAAACGTTTCGTTTCAGGAAAACGGCGAATTTGTGCGCTTGGACGAAGTGTCCGGCATCGACCTGCTGGGCAACATCATGGAGGCGAGCCCGCCGCTCTCCGTCAACCTCAACCTCTACGGCGACTTCCACAACCTGGCGCACGTGGCCCTGGGGCTCATGCACGACCCCGACCATAGGCACTTGGTAGGGCCAGCTTGTGGATTTCAAACGACACGAAGTGGTTCTCCGTGAAACATATAACGCCAATCAGCGTGGTTATACTCCCCCTTTGCAACGAGAGCTTAAACTTCCCTTAAATTACGACACGCCCACTGAGAGAGGTTCCTCTGTGCCTCTGCTCGGGAGGTCCTAGGCTTGCACTCCCACGGTGGCAGAATTTTCGACACTAGCTTGTCAGCTAGTGGAATTCAGTCGTCTGGAGGAGGAGTCTAGCGATCGGCTGCTCTGATAGGTAGTTTTCCGTGGTTTCTCCGATCAACACCAGGCGAATGACGGAGCACTTCCCTAACAAACGGGCCAAGGAGCGCGCGATCTTTCCCTCTTCCTCATGCTATTCCCACCCCTTACATACACACACACACACACACACACAAACACACACACACACACACAAACTAAACACACACGCCAAGAGCGGTCGGGAGTTTAGAGCTTGTCCCGGCTGATGGGAGACTCCTGGCTGGGGCGACCCGACGGTAGGTCGGCGCCGAACCTCGCCATTCAGAGAGGACGACCACTGGCACCTCCGAATGAAAACACGTGCACAACACTTACGGGACCGATGACTCTGGTCGTTGACGCGCCCGTAATCAGTACCATTTTCGTAAAGCTGTTAACCGTTCGTAATGGGGGAGTGTAACCCGCGCCCGGATTCTCGAGTCGCAGTGAGGGCGACGGGTGGACGCATGCTGTGTGCGCAGGAGACGTTCTCGGTGGTGGCGGAGCCCACGACGGCCATGCGCGACCCGCTCTTCTACCGCCTGCACTCCTTCGTGGACGACGTCTTCCACGAGCACAAGCGCACGCTGCCGCCCTACACCGTGCAGCAGGTAACGACTCATAAACAAACGACTTTTTACTCTTTGCTGTTGAACTGAAAAACTAGTTATTGAAAAAAGTTGCCTAACGAAAAGTGATTGCACAGGTGCTGCGGTCGTTTATTCATATAACGATAATTTTCACTTCGAGGAACTTGCAAAGGTCAACTTAGTTTGCCATAAGGAACTGTATCTGCTGGATGATGCAATTCAATGTGATATGATGCGTCAGGTGGTCATTTTCTCACATCGCATGCTACGTTGTAATTTATGTTAATCCTTTAGACGTACATGTGTACGGGGCATTTCTATATGTCGGGGATAATCCGAATCCGAATCCGAACAGATCAGACGCCTAATTTGTTCGGAATAACGGGATTTTACAGTAGTTCAAAACTTTCTCTTACCAAATATATCAACATTTTTTGTTCTAGGACGCCTAAAGTCTCTTTAATTCTTATTTAAATGTCCTAGTATGATGAGTCGCGCCCCTTAATGTACACTGCATACTTTTTTTTTTGTAATTTTGTACGCATGTTGGGTTGATAATGAGTGGTTGAAAAAATGCTCATGTTCATAGGTGGTAGCATGGTATCTTCCTCTAGAGAAGATGAATCAGAATACGGAGCAGAAATGTTCTGGTAGAGCAGTGGCAAGTGCAGACTTAAAGTGGCGGGTCATCTCCCTCCCTAACATAACTTTTTTTGCTGCTGAGACAGGCGATGGATCCAGGGGGGAATGAGCCTAGAATTTTTATTTCTTACCTTCCTTTTTTTGGCAAAATTTATTTAAATATTTTTTAATATTGAAGTTGTGTAATTATTTAAAAAATAATGTATATAATATACACTGTGATAACAAATGCTTATTATGTAACAAAAATTTATTATGGGGGCGGGGGGGGGGCAAACTGATCGGCTGGATCCGCCCCCGACTGAGAGCGTGAATTGAGGAGTTCCAATCAAATTTCAGAAATTCGTTTATTGGTTTCAATGCAGCTTTATAAAGATATCGGGAATCCCCTTCCACAAACAATTTAGACTTGTATAATTAAAACTTCTACTTAAAATGTTCATAATTGCATTCCAGTGCTAAGGTTTGAATGTTTCTGTCAGTAAATCTTCTTTTGCACTTGCTTGGAAACTGATGAACTGAAGAAAGAAAAGTTAAACGCATTAAAAAAATATTCTTACAATAGGACACTAATACATTTACAATGGGCACCTAAATTTTGTGAGCTTTGCTTCTGCTAACTTCTCGTTACGGCAGGGCAGATCCAACTAATCATTTAGGGGGGTCATTGCTTTTTGTTAAATAATAAACATTTGCTATTAATTATTTTTGTAGTGTATATATGATAGTAAACAACATTATTTTTTATATAATTATATAATTCCAACATAAATATTGAAAATAATTTTGCAAAATAAAGGTAGATAACAAACGAACACTAGGCCTTTCCAAGGGGGGCCGGTCCCCATCCCCTGGATACGCCAGCGCGTTAGGGCTTCACTCCTAGTTTCCTAAATATTGATTTCTTCGCCGAACTCTCTGCCCTGATTCCAAAGCGTTCGCCCCGCGGCAATGCGATGAAGGCGAGCGCGGCGGGTAACCTAACCTCACTTTCGCAGCTCGGCTTCGACGGGATCCGGGTGGCGTCGGCGCAGGTGCAGACGCAAGGGCTGGGCCGCGCCAACGAGCTCAACACCTTCTGGCAAGTGAGCGACATCGACCTCTCGCGCGGGCTCGACTTCGCGCCGCGCGGCCCCGTCTTCGTGCGCGTGACGCACCTGCAGCACACGCCCTTCAGCTACCGCATCCAGGTGAGGGGCTCCAGCGCCACCCTGCACACGTGTAAGCTCCGATTGGATGGCCCCGGAAGGGCTGACGGCCTGCCAAGAGTGGCTCTAAATAACTCGAAGTGTGGCAATATCAGCATTAAAAAAAAAGTTGTCCAACTGGCGACCCGCACTGCCATTTATTGTGGCCCAATAAAGGTTATTGGTGAAGTGGCTTTCATTCATCTCGGATGAGTATATTGTGCACCTAACGCACACATCATGTCGAGGCCAACACCCCCTTTAATGTAAAAGTTGGTTAAGTTAGATTTATGAAACTTTTTTTTATTGAATTCAAATTCATCCAATTTGCTTCACTGCGTTCTGCATGCTTAGACGCAATATCGCGCGGAAGGTTTCACCCCCCTAACGTTTCAGAGCAGCAGAGTTCAACAATACGAGGAGGTAAGCTGAAGAAAAGATGGACCGCAACCTTCTTAAAGGTTTTAGTTCTGATCCTCGAGGCCTTTCAAATTGGACACCCCTGGTAAAAGGATCCCGAACATTACCAAAGGCTCCTTGGTTCCTCTTTTAAACTTCGACTTCAATGGGGTTTCTCACGATTTTCGTAGATCAATGAATTGATCAATGATCAATAATCAATAATATAAAAGTACATTCATAAAAGCAAGAAACTTATTCAATTTCTGACTTTATATGATAAAAAATATTTTCCCGTATCAATATTTTTATTTACTGACAAACTATATTAGGTCTCGTTTTCACGTCAGATAAAGCCGATGTTTCTTCAAAATGTATTAAACCATGTTATACTAAAACTTAACATTTAGAATACATTTTGAAAATATTTAACATTTTCCAATGAATAGTCATTATTTTTTATCCAAGATGTTAAAGAACTCGCATTATATCACACTTATCATAAAGCGCATCAAAAACAAAATCTAGGATTTTCAGCTTTCTCAAAAAATGAAACTATGAGAAAAACAGTGGGTATATTCTTCCTTGGTAATATTAGAGTTAATACGACAGACACAAATCTTCAATAATGGTACAAAAACCAGTTTGTTTTAAACGTCTTTTATCAAGTAGAAAAAGTTAATCAGAAACGGCAGGCTAAAAATCTAAGAGATCATTCGTGCAGATTATTTTGGAAGTTAAGATGCAAAATATAAGCGTTCTTAAGTTTTACAACACTTCCCATGCGCCGCAAATGTTCTTCCCATGCGCCGCAAATGTTCTTCCCATGCGCCGCAAATGTTCTTCCCACGCACCACTAAAAAGCGTTTTAAATGTTGTAAGTTCATATTGAACTCTTGAATGCTTTCCTTATTGTCCACTATGATGAGTTTTAACCAACTTTAAGCCTCCTAGATAACTCGCATAGCAAAGATTGATTGTCTTTGATCTGTAACCTTGTTCCCTTCGGTCAATAAAAGTGAATGCAAATATAGGAGAAAGTTTAAAATTGTTTAATATAATTTTATTTAAAGTAAAAACTGTTAGAAAGTGGAAACGTATGGCGAGAAAACAATTTGAGCACGTTTTCTTTAGTTCAAGATTATGTACAGAGGGGTCAAAAAATGTATACACTACTCGCAATTAATATATTCGGATCGGCGAAACCTGCGACTGTGATTCTTGCTTACTATTTCAGCAGAAGGTTTTGTTACATTTTCTTGCTATTAGCTGTTTAAAGTGACCCCCCTCAAGCAGCTAAACTACGTCGATGCTCCTGAAGTGATAACACAGCATAAATTTTTTGGGCATCTGTGTAAAGGAAGCAAGGAGCGTTTTCGGCCAAATTTCACGAGGTTCTATATTCGAGTCTCGACAGTGGCAGGATTTTCGACACTATTTCGCTTGTCAACTCGGTCGACATCCGCCACTGCCTAGATGAGAATTCTGCTCTGATCGGTAGTGGTCTCCGATCGTCACTAGGCGAATGCCGGAGCCCCATACAAACGGGCCACGGACAGCGCGATATTTCCTTCCTCTTCTTGTCGTATCCTCACCCCTTACCCACACGCACGCTACCATGCACTAAAATACCACACATGCCGGGAGACCGGTCAGGAGCGTAGAGCTTGTGTGGGCTGGGGCGGCGTCGAGCCGGTGGGAGATCCCTGGTTGGGGAAAACCCCGCTAGCCGAGAGCCGCCACCTCCCGAGGAAACCTCAGTCGCTACGCTTGCTTAGATGAAGTTGCCGGAAGGGTTTGGCGCACGTGGAGCGCGCAGTAACCGCGAGTGTTGTGGTGGTGGCAGGTGAGCAACGGCGGCGCGGCGCGCACGGGCACCGTGCGGATCTTCCTGGCGCCGCGCTTCGACGAGCGGGGCACGCCGCTCACCTTCCGCGAGCAGCGGCTCTTCTTCGTCGAGATGGACAAGTTCCAGTTCAACTGTGAGTGCTCTCCGCGCAGCGCTGCGCCAAAAACTAACCTAAAAGTACATAAATCAAGCTTTGAATTTTAAAAACTCTCTCTAACCGTTGTAAAACCAGAATACATAGTTTGTGGGTACTTGATACCGAAAATCGAATAACGGAAAAACTTGTCTGTCCATTAAAAACGCTAGCAGCTAAACCGTTCAGTCGATTTTCTCCATAGTTTTTTTATTACATTTTGTTGGATAGTGTGAAAGAATTGTTGCAACTTTCATGTTTGTTGGAAGCGGTTATTTTTCGAAAATTTCATAAATTCAAAATTATTTCGGCGTCTTCCTACACCTACAATTTTGAAGTTAGATTTTTCTCTTAATAACATCTGTTCCTTAAAGATGCATTTTGAAATAAGGTGATACACAATTTTTCGGAAATTTGGGTACTTTTCTCGTATTTTAATGTAAAATACGAGGGGATAAAGTACGTGCTTTTTTAGCACCACTGGCTTTATTAGTGTCTTTTAGGCCTTCTACTCTTAATTCGGGTTCCTTAATTACGTAAACTTATTTGATGAAGATTGATACAACAGTTTCCCGTCGGAAGAGGGGAGGGGTAGTCTGGGGTTAGCGCGTTGGCCCCGATTAGGGACGCAACATACGCCGTCCATAAATTACGTAACGCAAATTGGAAGTATTTTGAATACCCCCTAAAGGCAAGAAGTGAAAATAAATTATAAATCGGAAAAAGAAATGTACTGATTTCATTCGTTCAGAAACCACTTCAAATAATTAAAAATAATATTGTTTTAAAAAATTAGACAATTGTCCATGTGTTAGTGTGGCAACAAAGGAAGAATTACAACAAATATTAAAAAATCGAAAAAAATAAATGTTTCGTAACACTAATGGAATACGCCCCAACCCTTATGTAACGCAGTGTAACGCTGCCTCAAACCCCCTCCTCCCTTTAGCGTTACGTGAATTAGGGACTATCTTTTAACATATCGATGTTCATAGTTAAAACATCGATGTTAGTAATAAATCACTCAAAAACTCTCTATTAAAAAAAGTTTAGTAACCTCTAACAGCTAATGGTAGGGGCTCCGACATTACCGTTTGCTCGGGGGGAAATTTCAGTGCTCTGAAGTAAATAACAATAACAAAATCGGATCAGTAGAAGAGCAACCGTGGCATGACTAACTGCTACAAGCCACACTTTGAGAGATTTTCGGTTGTTTGCAGTCCAGCCAGGTGCAAACACCATCGAGCGGCTGAGCACAGCCAGCGCGGTGTCCGTTCCCTACGAACGCACCTTCCGGGACACGAGCGTGATGCCGACGCAAGCGGGCAGCCCCGAGCAGGAGCAGTTCAACTACTGCGGCTGCGGCTGGCCGCAGCACATGCTCGTGCCCAAGGGCTCACAGGAGGGCCTCGCCGCCGATCTCTTCGTCATGGTGTCCAACTATGCAGACGACAGGGTAAGACGCGTCGTATCAAATTACAGCAGACTCCGGCTATAGTGAACTTCTGGGGACTTAGAGCTTTCATTCACTATGTCCAGTGATGTACAAACATTGAAATTCTCCACAATGATTGATTTTTATTATTGTAGAAATACAGCAAAATCATTAACAGCCCAAAGTGAAAAATTCAATATCTTCATTTCTCCTTAAAAATCAGTTGTTTTCAACTGTAAATTTTTTATCGGTAATTTCTCCAGATTCAGCTCGAGTCCGTGCTCTCCATACTCGATTCCGCATTGTTCACTGGCTCCGTGGCGTGACGCATCTTCATACCCTTCAATGCCTCTTCCGCAGTCGGAACACGTCCCACTCTTGAACGACCTTTCGCTTAGCTGATGGCACAAGAGATGCTTTCGGCAAGGGGATGGTGACAATGAAACTGATAGCTTTCCCGCGCGGCGGCCATCGCCAGCCTGTCAGTCGCGCGTTTCTGTCGCGTCAAGTGCTCAATGCGCTTTGACCTGCGGGATACCAAGTGGCACCAAGCTTCAAACAGAAGCAAGCAATCGCGCGTCGCCGCCGCCGCCGCCGCTTGAAGCCAACGCAGGACACAAATTCGGGTTTTCGCAGTGAAGCGGAGGTAGTAGGTCCCCCTCCACGGTCCCTAATTCAGGGAAGACTTCTTCGAATACGACCTTGGGCCGATAGTTTCTTCAAGTGACCTAGTGAAGCAATTTGTGGCCCTGAGACGATATATTCTCTTCCACGATGGAATTAATTTTCAGGACGTAGCATTTCCTACTTTCACTGTAACCGCATCTTCTTAAGCTTATTTGTAATGCAGCCGAAGAGAAACGGGACCAGTGTCCAAAGTGGACTATAACCGAGGGTTTACTACATCAGTGTTCACTATAACCGGAGTAGACTGTATTTGAAAGCCAATGGCTGAAACTTACTCACTTTGCTCAAATGGGGGCATTGTTTTAATAACTCCCAAAATATTAACTAGACTGAAAACCATTTTGTGTATAACGTTGATAAAATGGGATGCTATTTCACAAAAGTGAAAGGCTTCGCAAGAAAGATGGGTTAATTTTATAATTCTGTTTCAGGTAAATCCACCCCCACAACCGAATTCATGTTCTCAAGGCCACAGCTACTGTGGAATTTTCAACCAGCCATATCCTGACCGCAGGCCCATGGGTTACCCATTCGATCGCAATCCTCGTACTAATGCACAGACATTGGCTCAATTTTTGACCCCTAATATGTTTGTAACCCCTGTTACAATAAGATTCTTTAATGAAATTAGAGCGCCCGGTAACTCAACAGGAATACCCGTTAGACGTGGCAGAGTAACCACAAAATAGAAATGTGATTTTAAATAGAACTTTGGAACCTATGGAGAGACCTGGTATTGCTACAAAACTTCGTCGGAAGTTGCATGTTCTTCAAAGACATTGAACCAGGACAAGAATTTGCAGCAAGAAGAAAACTAAGCACAAAAGGTCCTGTGAATGATTAGGAGGGAGAGCAAATGTTGAACTCTGAATGCCCTGCCTGCAGAAAAAGAAAATGACATGGCTTCCAAACAAATTTTATCAGTGTTTTTTCAATGTTAAATTGATGCCATGCATTTTCCCTTGATTGACACTATTGGAAAGTTTGTTTCAGAAATTGTCTAGTTGCAAATGGATGCTTTTAATAAATGGCTTTTATACAAATTACTTTACTTCCCAAACCCCAATAAATCCTAATCTTTTTTCTAAGTGTAATTCACAGAAATAGAAAAAGATAATTCCAACTTGCAGAAAATGCAAATTGATATTGGAGAAAAAACTTCTGTTTACAGCTTATTTAAAAGGAAGCATGCAGAAGGTAGCATACGCTAAATGGACTAAATGGTTGTTTTTCAGCCGTCAAGGATTTTTCCCCCAACAGATGCAAAGTGAATTTTACTCTTAAAACAGAACAATTGTAGAATAACTCACTTCTATCATACTATTTATACTGAAACGGAGAATTATTAAAAATAATAAATCCAAAGTATTCTTGGTGCAACAGAGAACTAAAGTCAATCATTTCCACAATAAAGGCACATGATTATTAATACAACAAATTGCCCTACTCAAATTTTGCAACATTCAGACAAGTTTGTAAAAGACTAGGAAAGAGAAATTTTATTAACTTTTGTTACAAATAAGAATGCCCATCACTTTCTATACTATGTTTTTGAAATTAGGAAAACCTGTACTGTTTCTTTTAGAATGTACATAATTTCATATAAATCTCAAACCTTTTTTTGACTGTAATTATTGTCAAAACTTTTGCAACATATTTTAAAACCTTTTACAAATAATAAACTACATATAACATTGATACTACTCAAATCACGGTAATGGATATTTTAAGATTTATTATTTTTTTAAAATTCATTTATTAAAGGGCAGGCCCAGATGCCCAGTGCAGAACCAAACATATTGAAGGAATGTTGTATCTTCCGATACGTTTTAGAAAAATTATTCACCAAATCATTAACAATGTATTTTCCAATAGTATGAAAATCTGCATTTATTACACAAATGCTTAAATCTGGCTGAATTAATGATCTTCCAATATAGTCCCGTATCATGTACACTTGTTTTTTAAGTTCAATGGAAAACAAAAATTAAGTCGGCAGCATATACAGTGACTTCAGCAAAGTCCTTGCGACTGTAAATCGTGCAATACTTGTAGATAAATTGAAATCATTTGGCTTTACAACTTATTGGGGGGGGGGGAGGCCGTTGGAATTCGTGAGTAGGGGGGCAAGCTCAAAGT